TCCTCAGTACAATAATTGTGGGAGCTGCAATAGAAAAACAAAGAAGAAAACACCACCCAAGTTTTACTGTCTAATCCATTTGGGAAGTGCCGAATTAACATTAAAACAGCTGCATTCCCACAGGACTTCTTAGTGCCTGTGATACACTGACATGCACCATGAATCTCCTTGAGGTGTCCTTGAACAGTGTGCCCCTGGTGCTGAGCTAGATAATGTAATGTGTGTTTCTATTTAATGAGCACAATTGTCCTATCAGGTATCGTTATTATCATATTTTATCACTGGGAAAAACTATGTTCAGGGAAATCAACAAGCCCATGGCTATAAAGGAAGAAAATGACTTTACTCAAACCCAGATGTATCTGACTTCAAAACCAGCACACCTTCCTCTATTCCACGCTGTCTCTCAAGGTAAACAGTGTTGAAGCAGGTGGCCACAGAGCCATTACATGCTGTGTGTCTGAGAGGGGATTCTGCCAGGTTGGTAGCTGAAAATCTTGCTTTAGAGCTCTTACCTCAGTGATAAACTGATAATCATAGATTGTTCCTTTATCAGGAAATGGAACAGTTAGTGCCTTTGAAGACGTATATTCAGTACCACTCTGTATTTTAAACCTATTTCGAGTTAGGTCTGAAATCGGACCTTCCATTAGTTCTCGAAGAATCTTGTCAAATTTTAACCGATCATCATCTGTGCAAGAAGCACCAATGGACCAGATCAATGAAAACAGAAAAATGCCCTGAATTGGAAAGATAAGAAAATAAAGTGGAATTAAAGCGTAACTTTAATCTATCCTTGAAGTTTAAATAAAATCAACTAGATTAATAATGACTGAAAGGAATACATATGCTGATGTATACTAGTAGGTCATCTCAGGATTTTGTAATAATTAGATTTGTTTAAAAATCAAATTGCACGTCTTATAAAATCTTAGAGTCAATAATACAAAGCAAATTATAAATTCTGGCCATAGGAAAACTTTAGAATGATTATTATAGTAAATCATGTGATATTTTCAATATATGGCAGGAGCTTGATATTAAAAGGAACATTGAAATAACTTTTTATTAAGTTATTAAGAAACACTTTAATAAAGGGCAAATAACATACTTTTTAATTTAAATTTTGATGTAGTGGCTTTACTTTAAAACAAATTCATATTCTTTCATTTGTAATAATATCTGAGCACTAATTATGTAAACTATTAATAGAATTGCAATTCTACAAGCAAAAGACAAGAGACTTCTTCTTATCAGACTCAAGGAGAGGGAACAAGGTAGAAGACAAGACCTGCCAATTAGATGAGAAAACCTGTTTGTTTGTTTTAAAATCAAATCTCTTTTTTAAGGCCAAAGTCGACAGAGTCCTGACTATGCTCTAGACTCTACTTCAACCTGTTCTCCTACTCCTAGTTTATTCATAGACTGCTTCTCTCTAGAAATTATTTAACCCTAAATT